TGTGAACATCACTCTACTCGAAACATTAACTAGTTCTCTCTCCACAGCTGCTGCCAGACCTGTTTAGTTTCCTCCAGCTCCTTCTATTTGTATTTCAGATTTCTAGCATTCACAATATTTTGCCTTTATTGATCATTGGTATGTTGCTAGTCAAAACATCACAATTTGTATACTTCAACACAGAGCGAAACAGTTTCCATTAATAGAGTCATTGAGAACCAAATGACACAAATGCCATTGGTAAACAAAACAATGGAGATGTTTCATCTTGTATTTTAAGTCAATACCAATACCTGCACATTGAGAAATCAATTTGGAGTATCTTGGGTCATGGGTGTCTGCACATACACTATTCTAGAGACTGCTTGCTTCTTATCTGTAGTTGGCAGATGGAGTTTAATTTGGATAAATACAACATATTGCATTTTGGTGAAACAAAGAAGGGCAGGATTTACACAATTATACACAGGTACATAGTTCTTTGAAAGTTGCCTCACAGGCTGACAGGGTGATTAAGAAGGCAGATCACTACGTATAGGAATTGGTACATCAAATTAAAGGCTGTACAGGATGTTGGTGAGGCCACTTTTGGAGCACTGTGAACAGTTCTGGTTGCCCTGGTAAGGGAGGATATTATTAAACTGGAGATTTACAAGGATGTTGCCCAGACTGGAGGGTTTTATACAAGGACAGGCTGGGTTAGCTGGGACTTTTTTCACTGGAGCGTAGAAAGTTAAGGGGTGTCCTTATAGGGGTTTATAAAATCATGAGGGACAGAGATAAGGTGAATAGCAAAGGCCTCTTTCCAATAGTGGGGGAGTTCAAAACTAGGGTCATATTTTTAAGGTGAGTGGAGAAAAACGAGGGATTTGAAGATGGTTCGTATACGGAAAGAAATGCCAGATACAGGCACAACATTTAAAAGACATTTTGACGGGTGTATGAATAGGAAAGGTTTAACGGGATATGTGCCAAATTTCCATGCTTAATGACTCTGAGCAAGGCCATTCAGCTCCTTATGTATCTTTTAAAAAAAAGAAACATTACATCTGTACATAGTTGGTTCTCAAGTATAGCCCTAGTGCAATGTCCAAGACGTCTCTCTTCACGTGTTCAGTTTAGATTGGTGTCTTCCATCTCACTAACGTCATGATACAAATTAATTTTATTATACCATAACAGACATGAGGGAAAACCATTTTCACACAGTGAGTGCTTAAGATGCAGAATGCATTCCTTGAGAGGGTGGAGGAGGCAGGGTCAATGAAGGCATTGAAGAGAAAATGGATTATTATTTGAAAAGGAAAATGCAGGATTATGGGGAGATGCTGGAGGGTGGCTCTAACATAAACACTCGTAGAGAGTCAGCATAGACAGAACGGGTGAAACAGCCTCCCTCTGTAACCATTTTATGAATACAATTCATTATGATGTTTAATTAGGAGGTAATAACAGCTGATAATAACACCAGACCTGACCACTAAAATGTCATGCACATTGCCTGCTTGACACATGCTGACATCATGCAAGGCAATGAGAGTTCCAGGATTCAAACAGCCCGAGCTCGTGTGTGGAGAACGAACACTCACCTCAGGTTCTGGGGATTGGCTGACACCAGGAAGGTAGATATCTGCCTTCTCCTTCACCTCTCCCTAGAGTAGGAAAATCCTCAAAGCAGTGAAGAGAATGGGGCAAGAAAAACCACACTGAAAATCAGAGAATGGAATAATATATGAAAGGGGAAATTCCATAAGTCCATGAGGGAGAATGAAGTGAAGAGATATGTTAGACAAGTGAAGGGGAGTTATCTGAGAGGGGACTCAAATACCAACGTAGACAATTAGGTTGAACGCTTTTTGTACTGTACATTCACTTTTAAATCAATGTAAAATGATCCTACCATGTGCTGTGGGAATTACAGCAAATCTCACTAAAGGCAGACATTAAGCAGCCATGCATATACACCATTATATAAACTTCTCCTAAACAGTGGGCAAAATTCCCAGTTAACAATGAAGAATCAAAATACTGTGTGAATCCCTTAAGTGATGTTGAGGTTTAAAATGAGGGTGCGTAATAGGAATAGCTTATAAAATAGCTAATTGACCATGAACAGCCTTTATGTCAATCCGATATTACTTTTCCCTGGGGCCTTCTTTACCTGCCCATATCTAAGTCATTCTTGTCTGCTCACTGTCCAGGAATGAATAATAGTCACCACCTCAATCAGTGATCTGAATTTCAAGGGATTTGTTGCATAATAGGAATTTTCAGTACTCTAAATGTGGTCATTGCTTTCCCACTGAAGCTGGGATAGTTCAAAGCAAGATAAATGTAAGAGGATGACTGGGCATTTCAAACAGTACAAGAGCACAAGATGCAGGAGCAGAGGTAGGCCATTCAGCCCATCAAATCTGATCTGCCATTCAATGAGATCATGGCTAATCTAATAAAACACAACTTTACTTTCCTGCCTTACCTCCATAACCCTCAATTCCCTTACTGATTAAAAATATATCTCAATCTTGAAAATATTTAATGACTTCGACAGCCCTCTGTGGTGAAAATTCCACAGATTCATTCCCCTCTATGAGAAGAGATTTCCTCTGCATCTGTCTTAAATGAGTGACTTCTTACTTTGAGATTATGCCTTCCGGACCTCGACTCCCACAGTGGGAAACAACCTCTCACCAGCTACCCTGTTAAATCCCATAAGCATCTTGTATGTTTCAATGAGGTCTCCTCTCATTCTTCTACACTTCAATCAACTCAACCTCTCATCATCACAACAATCCCTCCATACCTGGGATCAGCTTAGTGAACTTTCTCTGGTCTGCCTCCAATTTCCTCAGAAAAGGCTTATCAAACTGTTCACTGTATTTCAGATGTATTCATACTTGTTCCTTGTATACCTTTAGCAAGATTATCCTGGTTTATCGTCTGTTCCCTTTGAAATAAGGACCAACAATCCATTGGTCTTCCCTGTTCTGAAGACGGGTCATTAACAGAATGTTAATTCTACTTTCTCTCCACAGTTGCTGCCAGACCTGCTGAGTTTCTCCAGCAAACTATGTTTTGGCCTTCCTTATTGCCTGCTGAATTTGATGGTAACTTTTTGGGAATCATTTATTCAGTAGGATCCCAAATCTCTCTGTCCTGCAGTTTTCTGCAGACTTTCTCCGTTTAAATAATATTCAGCCCTTTTATTCTTCCTGCCAGGCCAGGCTTCCTGTACACACTTAAAGCAAAACATGTCAGGCCAGCTTTCAATACTAAGCATTTTGAATGTCCTATCAAACAAACTGCATGCTGATGAACACACACCAAAGTCCTGCAAAATAAAACTTACATAACCCTCCAGCAGAGAGAGAGAAGCATTAAGAACATAAAATACAGAAGGTGAACTTGTTGATCCATCAAACTCACCCCTTCAACAGATTGCATCCAGAAGAAATAGAAGCCAGATTGGCCAATTCACGTCTTCAAGCCATGAAGCTGACAGTGATTTTCTCCTTCAATATTGTGTTCATCTCATTCCCTTATTCCCAGACTAAGACTCTGTGTTCTCAATTCCAGATGGAAGAAACATTTTTTTTTCCAGCATCCACACTGTCAAGCCCCTTAAAAGTTCGGCCTGCTCCTATTGGATGCCCTCCTTCTCTGTTTACATTCCCTGGAGCTTAGTAGTGTGGCTTTTCCTGAGGCCTGACCTGCCCATTTTGGTCCTGAATTTAAACTAAATTAATCTGTCTGCTGGGAAGCTGACAGAATGGGTTAAAAATGATGAGGAGTTTAATGGTGAGCAACTGTGTGAAACTGGCATTGCAACCGACCCAATCAGGTTCCTGCCATAAAGAGACAGGTATATCTTACACTGAAGTTGAAATGATGAAAGATGTGTGTGACTGTCAAATACAACCTACACAGGATCCCCAGATGCTGACGAATACAAATTGGCTGCAAAAATATGCACGACTAGAGGTTCCCCACAGACGTAGACTGGTTCAAAACGAGCATGCCATTCATCTCAAAGATCTGCTGAGCCAGAAACATGACATGAGCTTCCACTTCCATTCTTCTCATTCTCTTTAATTTTCCTTCAAACGTACAAAAATGATTGAAGGTCATTGGTTTCAGCATTTCCTACCCGAAGCTCAACTTGACTTCACCGTCTGCGCTGTAAATTGTAATGATGCGTTTGGTGTTGAGCCCATGACCTACATTAAACCTCCACCTACTGCACACAGAGCAGGTTGTTCACTTTGGGTTACACGTGCAGTTCTCAAACTCCCAGACCCTTCCTAGGGAAGCTATTGACCAGATTCATGTCCTGGAAACCTCACTGCAGTTTCTGATCATTGATCAGAGTACCAGACAAAAATGGAGCAAGATGTTGGTCTTAGGAAGTAATGTAAATAAAACATTATCACATCAGAGATAGCAAGAACTGCAGATGCTGGAGTCAGAGATAACACAGTATGGAGCTGGAAGAACACAGCAGGCCAGGCAGCATCAGAGGAGCAGGAAAGTTGATGTTTCAGGTCGGGATCCTGCCCATTAATTTGCCTTTTTTAATAACTCACAGGATGAGGGCGTTTCTGGCTAGGCCAGCATTCAATGTCCGTCCCTAATTGCTTAGAGGGTAGTTAAGACATTGTTGTGGGACTGGGGTCACATGGAGGTCAGACCTGGTGAGGATGACAGATTTCCTTCTATAAAAGGCATTTGAGAGTCAGATGGGTTTTTCCGACAATCAACAATGGTTTCATGATCATCAAAAGACTCTTAATTCCAGATTCTTGTTATTGAATTCAAATGCCACCATCTGCCACGGTGGAATTTGAACCCGGGTCTCAGAACATTGGCTGAGTTTTTGAACTAATAGTCCTGTGGTAATACCATGAGGCCATCACCTCCCATCCTATGAATGTTCAATCACAGATACAGTTTCATTACACTTAACGTGAAATTGGTAATACTGCAGAGCTCTTTGCACCTACCATGCTGTTCATCTTGGACGATGACGAACCTGCTCTTTGCCCCTTTAGACTATGCAATTCTTCAACTCGCCCATCTCGGACTCCATGACTCAATCGCCGTCCCGACGTGCCCTCAGAGGATGACCTCAGGCGCCTCTCCACCCACTTTTCCTCATGGCGCGGACTGAACGCCCTGTTCACCGTCACTGCAGAAATGAAACCAGACAGTTTGGTGGTCATCTTAACAGGTGAACCTAGCTATACACAGCAGCGTTAAAAAGAGCCAAGTTACTAATAAGGCAAGGCAAGCTACAGTCTCCACTAGTCAAGTAGAACTTGGTGATCAGAAGGAATCCTGTGGAAAATACTATCAAACAAAGTTGAAGTCAGTTATGAATGACACTATGAATATAGCAGAGAACTTGAATTCAAAATTTTGACCCTGTAACATAAGTTAAGGGGAAGTGATGGCCTTGTGGTATTATTGCTAGAAGATTAATCCAGAGAGCCCAGGCAATGAGCCACATTCAAACACCACCATGACAGATGATGGAATTTGAGTTCAATACAAATCTGGAATTAAGACAGACTAATGGCACTGATTATTGGGAAAAAACTTATCTGGTTCATTAATGTTGTACAGGGAAGGAAATCTGCCATCTATATCTATTTGGCCTACATGGGACTCTAGACCCATAACAATAGAGACTCATGGAGACAGGCAACATGAAAACCTCTAGGTAGTTAGGAATGGGCAATAAACGTACATTCTGTGACTGAATGGGGAAAAAAAAAGCTGAGACATTACATCAACAAATAGCAGCTAACACAAGGCTTGTGGTCTGTTTCTGAAATTGATTCATCATAAGGTAATTATGGTACCTTACAATTTCTTGAAATTTCATTTTCAAGATGTCGGCATCACTTGCAAGACCAGCATTTGTTGGCCATCCTAATTCTCTTTGACAAAGTGATGGTCAGCCACCTTCTTGAAATCCTGCAAGTGCCACAGTTTGCTACAACAGGGCAGAATGCTCAGGCCACCTCCATTTGTAGAAAGCCACACCGCTGACAGTCAGGCAGGGCCAGACCAAACCAGGTAAAGACTGTAGGTTTCCCACCCTTCAGGACATCAGAACCAGGTGAGCTTTTACAGTAATCCATAGCCATTGATGAGACTACCTGTTTATTTGTAACGAGAAAGAATTCTAGATCTATTTAATTGACCGAAGTTAAATTTTGTTGAAGGATTCAAGTTCAAGCCTCTGATTTATTTGCATGATCCTCTGGATCTTCAGTCTCGTAAAATACAGCCACTGTGCTGCCATGGAGATTCATTTTATGCAAGACACATAGACCGTAAGATATAGGAATGGAATTAGGCCATTCAGTCCATCGACTGTGTTCAGCCATTTCATCATGGGCGAAATATTTCCCAATCCCATTTGTTATGGACCAGACTAAACCTCCTCCAAATATGTTAAGAAGATAGCCTAGACTCCCACTTTTTCTTATTTTTGAAGACAAGTGTAAGACGTTGTGTTCTGGATGTAATTCAATTGGTCAAACCACCAGGCTTGAAGCAAAACACATTGTATTCTTACACAATAAGTTAAAACACAGACAAAATAAGAATTTTTAAAGATTAGCTTAACTGTAACTTTATCAAAATATTTAAGATAATATATTAACCACCACTGATTAGTTGTTCCAAGATAGTAACATCCCATTAACCTACCCTTGACAGAGGAAAATTCAGTAAAATAGATTGTCTCACATGCAATGTTTCTCCAGTCCAGGAGGAAAGAACATCAAGAGAAAACAAGAATGAGAGAGAACTCAAGCACTTTGCTGTATCAGGGAGAAGCGGACAGCAGCTTCCAAACCTCAACGGCTACTGAAAGTTAAACTGAAACCCTGGTTCTGCAGGAGCTTGACCCGACCCCTTCATGCTGTTGCTATCCTTCCAACTTTAAAACAAAACCAAAGCTAGCTACATTGCTGGGCTCAGGGCAGACAGCTTGTCTCTAAGGTTTACAACGCTTGCTTTCAAAAGAAACATGACAAAACAAATCCTTCTTAAAGGCATATCTCGTAACACATTCTATTGCCTACTTCCCTAACCTTGATCCCCTTAGTAATCCATAACCTATCTCTGTCATAAAGACACTCAATGACTTGGCCTCCACAGCCTTCTGTGTCAATGAATTCCACAGATTCACCAGCCTCTGGCTGAAGAAATTCCTCATCTCAGTTCTAAAGGATCTTCTCTTCACTCTGAGGCTGCGCCCTTGGGTCCTAGTTTCTGCTACTAATGGAAATATCTCCCCCACATACACACTATCCACGCCTCTCAGCATTCTATAAGTTTCAATCAGATCTCCCCTCATCCTTCTAACCTCCACTGAGAATGGACCAAGAGTTCTCAACTGCTCCTCAGCTGAAGCCTTTGTAAGACAAGTTGTTGCTTGCCGATGAAATTATATATTATCAGTTTTTCCAGTTTAAAAATGAATGGTTACTCCTTTATTTACGAACAAAAGTTTCTGTTGAAATATGTTGCTGAACAGTTTGGAATGTCAAGTTAAGAATGAAGGATTTTCCCCTCCCTTAGCCAAGGTGTTTCCTAAAGTATAATTGTTTATGTATGTCACAAATCACTGGGATGTACACACTCCCAATTTATGGAAGGTCTGTGTGTTCAGCCCAAGGGCAAAACTGTCGACAATGCAGATGCAAGTCTTAATGCTACATAACTGAATTTGCAACTCTATAGAAAAGTTCCTCGCAATGCACAGCTCCGTGCAGCTATGGAGATCTAAGTTATGCTACAAGTACTCAAGCAAAAATCAAAGCTTTTTGTAAATTAATCAGGTTGCCTTGACCAGGGAAATTCTGCCAGATGTCCAAACTTCCCATCAAACTCTCCTAACCTTTCCCCTCCTTCAGTCTGTTCAATGAACAACTTCCCATATCTTCTCATCACCCCACTCTAACTCCCTCCTCTACACTTCCTGTCCTCTCTTAACCACTGCTACACATGCTCTCAGCCAACCCCTTGACCCAAATGGACTCTCTATTCCTACCATCACAATCACATACAACACAACCTCTTGATAAATTCACATCCCCCTTCCCTTTCCTGACTAAAATTCCTTCTGCATCCAAATGTGGCAAAATAATTCTCCCTCAGGGCACGTACAAAATTTCCTAAACTTTGACCATCTATTAGCCACAATACATTGCTTATTGAGCTGCTCGATAACATCCTCATTTCTACCCTGGGTACCACACTGGAGAAGTGTGTGGAAAAATAAACCCTCAATAGATTTCTGAGTAGAAATCTGAAATCTTTACCTGGCCATCAGCTGTAGTATTGCAGGCAACCAGCAGAGGCAGCAAAGCTTTAGATATTAAGCAGCACGGGCCTGAAGAGATTAAGAGACTAACATATTTCCAGTGCACAATTATTCAAAACATGTGGCCAAACTAAGGAGAAAAATCTCCATCAGTTCGAGACCTTCTGTTCTATCAAACGCATTCTCACAGAGCCTCTGGTTGTACAAAACAGCCACAATGACTTTTGAAGAAAGCACTGCATTTCTGACCTTGAGTAATTGCATTATACAACATTTGAATCTAAAAGGACACCAGTTTTGTGCCAAAATGATCAACACTGGTCATATACTGCAGGCAATTACTAACGGCTACACTCGAAAATTAAAATCCTTAACAGCTGTTAGCAATTACAATATTGGAAGTTATATAACAGATTACATCTGAGTCAGTACAGCCAGTTGTGATAGAGAGGGATGTTACAAACTTCAGATCGGAGAAGTTAGGACTCTTTTCTTTGAAGGCTAAGTGGAAACCTGACATTTTAAAATTAATTCATAGGACATGGGCATCATCAGCATTTATTGCCTATGTCAACCACATCATTCTGGGTCTAGAGTCACATGTAGGTTAGATCAGGTAAGGACAGCAAATTTCCTTCCCAAAGAATATGGGTTTTTACATCAACCCATTACATGGTTATATGGTCATCTAAGGCTAGCCTTTTTCTTAATTGAATTAAAATTTCTTCATTCATGGGTTGGGATTCAAACCCTTCTGCACTGCCAAATTCTGAACAAACGCGATCTACAAGTTTGCTGGCAACACCACCATATGGGACAGATATCTAACAATGACGAGTCAAAATACAGAAAGAAGATAGAGGGGTTGGTGACATGGTACAATGAAAACAAACAATCTCTCAACACCAGCAAAACTAAAGAACTGATCATCAACTTCAGAAAGAAAGGATAACACGTCCCCATCTACATCAACGGAACTGAGGTTGAGAGCGTGAAGAGCATCAAGTTCCTCGGAGTGACAATAACCAATAACCTATCCTGGACTTTCCACATAAATGCGAGTCAAGGCGGCACAGCAACGCCTCTTCTTCCTCAGGCAGCTCAAAATTTGGCGTGTCCATAAGATCCCGCACCAACGTCTACAGATGCACCACTGAAAGCATACTGTCCAGGTGCATAATGGCCTGGTATGGCAATTGCGCTGCCAGGACTGTAAGAAACTTCAGAAGGTGATGTGCACAGCCCACACTATCACGGAAGCCAACCCTCCGTCCATGGACTCTATTTATATGGCTCGCTGCCACAGCCAACTTCATCAAAGACCCATCGCACCCTGGTCATGAACTCCTCCAACCTCTTCCGTCAGACAGAAGATACAGAAGGCTGAACACACGCACGAGCAGGTTCAGGAACAGCTTCTTTCTGGCCGTTATCCGACTTTTAAATGGACTCTAGCCTCAAATAATGTAATCTTATGTAGCCTGTATCCCTCTAAATCTGTTCTGATCTGCACATCCTTTGCTTGCTGTGATCTGCCTGTACTGCTCGTAAACAAAGCTTTTCACTGTATTTTGGTACATGTGACAAATAAAGCAATCAGAACATTAGCCTGGGGTTCTCAATTACTAGACCTCTGACATTGCCACTATGCCACTACATCCCCGTAAATTTAAGCATTCAAAATCACAAAGGATCTGAACAGAGTAGATAGGGAGAAACTGTTGCCACTCCTGAATGATCAGCAATGAAGGGCACAGATTTATATAGGCAAAAGAAGCAATGAACGTGATATGAGAAAAAGCTTTTTCACTGCAAGTGGTTAGGATCTGGAATGCACTGCCTGAGAT